GACAGGGGTCCAGATGGGGCTCACCTGGGTGCTCTGCTTGGGTCTCACAGGCTTCACTATGTGTCAGCCAGGGATCTGGAGAAGTGAGGAGAGCTGGTTTATTCTGACGGGGACCAGGGATATGCTCATCCCACCTATAATCCTACCTCACTTAATCCTGTTAATCTGTTGAGTTCTACTGTTTCTCCACTTCACAGACACGGAAAACTGAGGTTGTAGGAGGCGTTTGGAGGGAGCCAGCATCAACAGGTCTGTGTAACTGTAGTCCAAACAGGATGCCTTTCAGGAAACAGGATGAATTCCCACATCTCTACATAGGTACTAACTGAAAGTTAACCTGTGTTTTCCATGTATATGGTGCAGAATGTCTCCCAAACACACAATCTGGGTCTGCTATATCCCCATTTGTTATAGTTTGGATGTGAGGTGTCCCCAAAAAACTGACATGTGAGACAATGCCAGAAGGTTCAGAAGAGAAGTGATTGGGTTGTCTTAACCCAATCAGTGAACTATTCACCTGATAGGGTTAACTGGGTGGTAACTGAGGTGGTAGGGTGTGGCTGGAGGAGGGGGCATTGGGGGGATGGCTTTGGGTGTATATTTGTATCTGGATAATGGAGTTCTCTCTGTTTGCTGGTCACCATGATATGAGCTGCTTCCCTCTGCCACATTCTTCCACCATGATGTTCAGCCTCACCTCAAGCTCCAAGGAATGGTGCTGGACTTCTATGGACAAAGAACTTTGAAACCATGAGCCCTCAAATAAACTTTTCCACCTCTACAATTGTGCTGGTCGGGTCCTTGAGTCACAGCAGCAAAAAAGCTGACTAGAACACCATTTGACACATGAAATGGTGTTTTCCAATGGCAAGAACCTTAAAGTGAGGGGAAAGACTAAGAATCTCCCTTTTCCTGGATGTACTTTATTTATGAAATGAGAAAGCTGAAATATGTGATGTGCATTTTCTAGCTTGCATTTTTGTTTCTAATAACCATCCAACTACCCAGCAATTTAAGCTCATTTTTAATCCTACACTTAGGTTCATTGTAGTATATATTCTCTGCAGGAAGATGGATGTTCCCCCTGCCCCCCAGCACTTTGGATTGAACCCAGGGGCACTCTATCCCTGAGCCACATCACTAGTCTTTTTATTTATTATTATTATTTTTAAAAATTTGAGTCAGGGTCTAAGTTGCCCAGGTTGGCCCTGAACTTGCAATGCCCCTGCCTCAGTCTCTGGAGTCTCTGGGACTACAGGTACACACCACTGTACCTGGCTTGGAGGCTTCTTTATGATGCAGGAAAGCATACAATTGGTTCAGTAAATACAACTGATTAGTTTAGAAGATAAAAGTAAACGACACAAAAATAAAAGGGAGGGCCACTCTGGGTGTTTATTCACAAGAACTGAAACCAGGATTTGGTGGAGATACTAAAGCTTCTTTCTCACGGCAGCATTATCCACAATAGCCAGGTAAACAGCCTACACGTCCGCTGCCATGAGTGGACAGAGAGAATGTGACGCCATACAATGGAATACTACTACGCACCTTTCAGAAAGAAGGCACTCTGCAACACACAGAGGTGCATTTGGGGTCACAGAAGGACACTGCAGGTGCCACAACGTGGGGTGGAATGGGTATGACTGGAGTGGGGCAGGTTCTCAGGGTTGATGAGGGGAAATGGAAATTGCTGGCCAAGAGGCATAAAGTTCAGTCAAAAAGAGGAACGAGCTCTGGAGACCCCTGTGCAATGCCAAGCAAACAGCCAACAGCAATGTTTTCTACACAGAAATCAGCCAAGACCACGGATCTCATGATGAAGGTTCTTACCTCAGGAAATTAGCATAAAATTGGAATTTGATGTTTATAGACTATTGCTATCCACCCTGCTTCTAGAAATTACATAAGTGTTGAAGGAACATGCATCTTCTGAGAGTTATGCCAAGAACCTCTCGGTTTCTCTATGAATGTGAGAAAGGTAATGATACAGAAACAGCCTCAGTTTCCTCATCTACATGGCTACTCAGCTCGCAGCACTCTTGTAAGGACTATGTGAGGTCATGAAAGGCCTCGTGTACTGGAAAGTGCTCTTCCAGGTAAGGGGATATTATTGCCAAAGTAATGACAACATAAAATGAGGTCCAGTGACCTTTTTAACACCTTGTTTTCAATAAGGAACAAGGCCATAATTTGAGTAAGAACCTCTTACACTAGTTCTTAGAGGTGGACAGTAGAACACACAAGGTTGCCAGGAAGGGTGGAAGAGAACACCAAGAAATCAGACATGCAGATGAGCAGCACTGGAATGAGAGGAGGGTTCACCTGGAAACTCGAGTAGGCCCTYCTGAGCTGAAGGCACCACTGGGAACAGGGCTGCTTTATAACAAGCAGCACATGTGCACACTCAGGACGGTCTCAGGTTGAACGAACAGACTAACAGATGCTGTTCCAAAGACCTGCAGACCATCTTACAGATTCTGAATACGTAAGCAATAACTTCCAGAACGATGTGACAGCAGGCTTCTCTGCATCTATGGCAATCTATTGTTTTGTCATCCCGAGTTCAGAAATGAGCCCCAATTCACTCCAGAGCCGATACTGAAATCACGGGTTCTGAGAGGCAGTTGATGGGTGTGAGACAATAATTGAACAGCTTCCCTCAATAAAAGAAAGTGCAAAGCCCTTTGAGGATTTCAGTAGACAGCTGAAGGAGAAATCTCTGGGTAGAAAGGAAGGGCTTCTAAGAGTCCTTCTATCTTTTTTCTCGGTATTTGGGTATGTAGACTGGGAGTTTGTGGCTCCTCCTTTAGGATTTCAGCTCCAGTTATGAGCTATGAACAAATCCATTTCCCACTACTCTTAGAGCTGAACAAGATCCTTCAAAAAGAACTAAATTAAAACCAAGAGGAAGACAAAAAGGAAATGAAAGTCACAATATTCCAAGCAGTCACATACAATATTCCAGCTGATCATGACCAGCTCCTAATTGTGGGCCTGCTCCAGCCCATGCTTTCTTTCCAACATGAACCTTTAGCTGTCTTCTTACTATTACTCAGGAGCTGGAAGCTTGTCTAACCTGCGCTGTCCTGTTCTGGGACAAGCACATTCTCTCTCCTAAAGTTTTCATGGAGTCCTGTTGCCAAGTGTTTTACTCAGTGTCTGATCAGAAAGCCAAGTTCCATAGCCCCTACCTCATTCAGCAAGCTTCTCACTGCTTTATTTTGATGGATTAGGACAGCTCTTCCCTGGTCCCACCCACATCCCAGAAGCACTTAAAGGAAAGAAAATGTTTTTGTATACTATCAGGGAAAGACATGAAATACATACAAACGAAGAGCCTATGGGAGGCCCTTACCTAGGTGTGCAGGACAATTGTGCTACCCTACATGAGTACACTGCCTTCTCCTATTTTAGAAAACTTGGTCTTCACATATGTCCTGGCTCGGGGCTCCTTTTCTTCCTGAGTCCCCATTAGATTGACACCTGCACAATACCATGCCCGACTTAGCTTAGTAACTGGAAAGCCTCCTTCTGCTGCCAGCTTGGTGGCTCTGCTGTGTGACCTTCTCCAAACTTCTTCCTGCTGGTTCTTTTGTTTCCATGAGCTCCACCCTCATGTCTATGCTGAAGTGTGGATTTCTAACCCATTTTTTCATCAACTTAGTCCCATCTGCTTTGATCTTCCAAAAGTTCCTCAAATTGTCTAGTTCATTGCTGGCATTTTCTGTGAATTTTGGGTTGTTATTTTTACAGTTTCTTTTTAGTGGAATTTTGGAAGGAAAGGCCCATAACCTTTCCTTAGTACATATTTTGAAATAAAAGCTCTTATCCAAATTTTTTAACCTTTTCTAAATGATTTTCTTTTTAAGTGTAATAAACCTAGGAACTGTTTGGAAGACAGGAAAATGCATGAAGGGTCAGCACTCCAACCTCCTGATAACCATCCTGAAGTCAGTTTCTGCTTGGCATGACAAGACTCCTAGAGAAAGTGAGGAAGAATACCTTGGTCTTGATCAAGTCAGTTTTCTTTGTATTTACATTTAAAATGAGAAGATTCTGCAAATCTTGGCTCACATATTGTCATTCTGCACAACTCTCCATGTATTTTAATCCAATTAGAACAAACAAGGATCTGAAACTCACCTATAAGACTGGATGACTAGGGATAAAGAGTCTAGAAATCTCAACAAGCCACCAATAATTCTACCTGATGATTAGCCATGGCCATCACTACAGATGAAGGAAGATTCAAAATAACTAAAAGCCCAATTCCTGCCTTTGAAAGTTTACTCTGGTGCTGGGAACCTTGAGCATGCAATGTAAAAAGGATTACTCAATTATCACTCTTAGCAGAAACTATTATTCCAATCAAGGTAAGAGTCTCCATCTCCCATGAATTTCATGCTCATGTCCATCATTCTTCTATTTGTGCTTATCCCCCACATAGAACATCCTCTTCTCTTCTTACCTTCTATCTAAGTGTCATCTACTATTACTATCATTCAGGAGATAATACTATATAATTAATTATTTTTAAATAAAGGAAAATTAGGAACTTCACATGTCCAAAACCAAAAAATTAAAGTATAACTCAGAAGAAAATATATGCAAATATCTGAACACAGAATAAAGCCAAAGTATAAAATCAATGGATTATAAATTATCACTAGACTTGAAAACAAGCTTTCACACATTAAAAATAATCACTGAACCTGAAGTGACAAGCAATAAACTGAACTCCTATTCAAGAAACCACACAGGAAGACACTTTTTCTTTTTTTTTAACTCCCCTCTCCAGATGCTTCAGAGAACATCTGAAGGCTGTTTACATGCAGCAAAACAAAAATATTAGTCAAACATGTCTTGATAAGGGTTTCACAAGTGTCTTTTCAGGGTTTCTGCTTGTTATTACTATTTAAGGCTAACCTCGCATTAGATATTTTACATGCCAGGCAATCATTTATTTTGTTTTACAAATGTTTTTATTGCATCCCAATTACATGCCAGGGACTGTGCTGGGTGCTAAAAACAGACAGGGTCCTTCTCATCAGAGCACTTTAGCCTAGTGGAAGACAAACATTAATCAAGTAGTCACACAGATTGTGGGTAAACAAAGGTATAKAACACTGTATATGCAAGCACACCCACACACAAATATATGTACATGTGCTATAAACTCCTGCAAGAGCAGGAATCATATCTTGTTTGTTAAATAACTTATTCCCATAAAAATCTGCAGCTATTCTTATTAACTAACTTTTTTTTTTCAATGAAGTCAGCTTTGAATGTTYCATATTTTAGGATACTTCAAAAGTTTAGAAAGATATACTCTTATTTTTAAATAACTTATAAAGAAATCTTACCTAAGTTATGAGGTGATCTCATGATMAATATTATCAGATTAAGGTAAATATTAGTTAAGCATCAAAGGAATGACATTTACTTTTCTTAAAAAGAAATATTCACATAATTTATGCACTAAAATAATGTGAAGGTATTAAAATTTTTAACAATACACATAAAAAAATTTTTTAAAGCACATTTTTACACCGTATATCCTGGAAGTTTGTTTATTACTAACTCACAGATATCTTTATATTGCTTTGAAATTCTTAGTGAACCAATGTCATCATCATCTTSAAAATGATCTGAAGTACTGCCATCCAGAACATTGAGTTCTAGTTCTGACAAATTAGAGGGCAGGTAAGAACTCACTTGAGATGTCCKTGGTGACTGGCTTTTTTCTGACCATTTGCGATCAGTTTCTGCTTTAAGTTTCATAGAGAAGTCTTGACATCTTTTTTTATCCTTAGTGTTATGCCTACTGTTTTGGTCTATCTGGYTTTCTTTTTCCTTAGTCCAGTGGGATGAAGATAAATTACTGGTGGAGTTACTAGATGCTTTTTCCACACTTTCATCCCGAGTCTCTGAAAGATAACATCTTTTTTTGTGAGAGTATTGGTGATCCAGCTGAAAAAGGTGGGCTARGAATAGAACTCTTCTCACTGCTACTTTTCCCTAGGGGTGGTCTTGGTCCAATAGACTTCCTCCTAGGTGAAATTTCTGCCCGTGGACTATTAGCATGACTCTGCAAGCTCCTGCTGGTCTCCTCAGTGCTRTAGAAGTCTTCTGAATAGCAAGGGCTGGTGAAGTCATCTGAATACTTCAGCTCTGAGATGCTTTCATGGGAACTATTTTCACTCATTTCAGCARGAATGTTATTATCTGTGTTTCTGAYCTGCCAATTWTCTATTTCTTTATCTACAAYTCTKCCAGCCATAGCATGTTGTTGGAAAACACATGGACTTTGTACTCTGGTTTCCAGTTTTCCTCCCAAAATACTTGTATGAGTCAATCTTTCTGGAATAATAAAATCTGCAGGACTCGAGATTCTTCCCAATGTGCTGGTTCTGTTTTCCCCACAATCAACTGTCTTTTTTCCAGTTGCACATTTTAGTTTAGTTTCTTTAGTTGTGCTGGTTTCATCAAAGACTTCACTAATTTGCCTTGAGGTATCACTATTTTCAGAAGATGCATCTGAATCTAAATTCTTGTCTCTAGGTAGCTGATGTGGCTTCTGATTTTGTTCTGCAAAGCTTAATACTTTAACTTTAGAGGATGGAATTCTGAATTTTGTACTTGTACCCAACATTTGTGCTTGCATTTTTCTATACTCTTCTCTTTTTTCATGTATTACCAACATGTCAGGATTTGTTTGCTTTAAACGCAGTCTGAGTGTATTTGTTAAGCCATAAAGTAGCTTCCCCCTTGTAACTCTTTTTTGATGGTTGCCATTTTTCTCAAAATATTTACCTTTCTTAAGGTTTTCAACTTGGTTCTTTTTACACTGAAGGCTCGCTGACTTTTCGTGGCTCCCCACTGAAAGCTTATCCTTCTTATATTCAGACTGACATGTGGATTTGGTGCAAGATTCTGGTACCTTCTTATCCTCGGTTCTATACAACCAGGCTAAGTGGGGATGTACATGAGTTGGGCTTGCCACGGGTTGGTTGTATAACAAGGACAACTCAATTAACAAAGCATTTAGCAGAGGAAGCTGCCTTATTGTATTAATTGTATTTTGTTCAGTTTGAGGGTGACATGTAGTTTGATTAATTGCTCCCACATCCTGACTCCCTGGTGGACTCAAAAGCACGGGAAGAGTCTCCTGTGTTGCAGAATCTGTACCTTCAGGAGGACTCAGATGTGTTGGAGGGTTTACAAGTACTTTTTCCGGCAAGGCATCACCTAGCTCCTCGGGTACGTCCCTTTGGGGCTCAATGGTGATTTTGACGCCTGCAGGAACTGCCCTTTCCTGGGTCAAGTGAGTGTAATACAGAGGAGGAGGGCAAAAGGTGTTGGTTTCCAGGTCCAGCTCAGTGTCTTCCTCGCTGGAGGCGCTGGCACTGCTGCCTGAAGCCTCCACAGGGCCAGGCCTACCCATCTCCACGGAGCCCGTGCGGGATGGGCGGGCCGCGGGGTCCGGGGCGCCCAGTTCTGGGTCCAGGTCGGCGAGATCCTGGGGGTCTGGGTCCGGGGCGCCGAGGTGGGGGTCCTGGGGGGCGGGATCCTGCGGTCCGGGGTCCGGGGCGCCGAGGTCGGGGTCCAGGTCGGCAGGGGCGGGATTCTGAGGTCCGGGGGCCGGGGTGGGGTCCCGAGCGCAGCCGCCTAGCTCCGTCAGGCGGCAGAAGAGCGCCAGGTCCCCGACGCGCTCGCCTTCCGGGTCCAGCAGGGCAAACGTGCCGCGGCTGCCGGGCCCGCGGGCGGCGGGCAGCGGGACGTCGCAGGCGCCCAGCATCCGTGGCGCGGGCGGGTCGGGAGCGGCGGGCAGCTGCAGCAGCGCGGCGCGCAGCCGCGGGCGGCGCAGGGCGGCGGGGCGCAGGCGGAACACGCAGGCCTTGCCGCGCCCGAAGCCCAGCGCGCCGCCGGGTGCCGGAGCAGGCGTGGTGGGTGCGCGCACCAGCAGCGGCGGGAAGTCCAGCAGGCGGAAGGCCACGGCGGGATCGGGCGGTGGCGCGGCCTCCAGGCGCACCCAGTCCACCAGCAGCTCCAGCGAGAAAAGCCGCTCGGCCGCCATCGCCGTTGCCCGCTGTGCCACCACCCCCCGCCGGAAGCCGCGGGCGCGCGCTCTCGCGAGAAGCGGGAAGCCAGGCGGGAAGGCCGGCAGGAAGTCTCGCGAGACCGGGCCGCCCGCCAGGAGGTCGGGGCCTGCTTATCTCGTCAGGTCCCCTGAAACGATGGGTCGGGCCGGACGCCAGGGTGAGCCGGCGCCCGTCCCGCGCAGCCCGCACCCTGCAGCTGCAACCCCGAGGCCGTGGAACGCCGGAGTCCGGCCTGCCGAGGTGTGACCCGCATCTCCAGAGGCGGAGACCGGCGCTGTGGGGCCGACCGCGGTGGAGGCGGGACGCCCGCCTGCCCGAGGCCGAGGACGGGTAGCGCAGCCACCTGGGGGAGTGACTCCCTGTTCGAGAGCACTGCAGCCCCTAGCCGGGACTTCAGCCTAGTAAGGAAGTCACCCGGGACCGCAGTTTATGAAGTATTCAGTCCATGGCGAATACAGTCCCTGTCCATCATGAACCGGGCCTGGCCTGGTCATCTGGCCCGGTGGCGACGCGCCCCTGCGGTGGGCGTGGGGCGGGGAGTTCAGCCTGCAGGAGTGCCCAGGGCAGCCTCGTGGGGAGGCTGTTCTACTGACACTGGTGCTTCCATCCCCACGTAGAAGGATGCGACAACTCCAAGAGGGAATTCAAAAATGAAAACAGTCTGCAAATTTAAAACCAGAACCTGAAACAGCCAACTCAAAGCCCTCACCACAGTTTAAAACCCCTGGTAGGTGCTGGCTTTGTGACAGGCTGGGAACCCCCGCTCCATGAATTCCGGAGAGACAGATGGAGGAGGTTGGGGCTCCTGTAGCAGCTCTGCTAGTCCTTCTCCATGGATTCCCAGGGGCCTGCACTTCAAGTTTCCAAGCCCTAATATTCCTGGAGTGAAGATTTCAGTGAGGAGCAGCAGACACCTATGGTTATCATTCAGGACCTCAGATAAAAGCCTACACAGAAAGACAGCCCCTGCTGAAGACTAGATTAGAGGCTTCTGGAATCCAAGCAAATAGCCCTTTCTTTCCTGTCTGCATTGGACCCTCACACACCTTAGACACCGTGAAAACTAGAACCATATATTCTATGAGACCTTATATTCTGTTGTTGGTAAAGATGAGGAAACTGTATCCTCAGTTAACATATCTGGTGTTTGAACAGGGATCTTTTTCATTTCCAGTCTCTTCTTCCTGTTTTTCAGTTTATGGCAAAGAGGAAGTAATAGTTTTCCCATATGCTGTCATTAAACTACTTTAATGTCCCATAACTCTGGCAGAGTTAGAACCAGAATCATTGCTATTTTCAATATAGGTAAGAAATAGCTGTTGAATTCTGCAACAGAACCCCGGGCTCAGCAGTACAGTTTCAATTTTATTTTGAACCTGCTAGAAATTTATATTAGAAATTCATTCCTAAAGAAGGTCAAGGAAAGGCTACAGAGTGGGCAAGAAGACAGGATGGGGGCGAAGAGTAGACACAAGACTCCACTACTGACTGGAGGGAAAGAATGTCTTCAACTCCATTCTGATAAATCAGCCTGCCAGAAAGGAAGGGGAAAGTGAAATCATGTAGCATCTTAAGGGGTTGGTGAGCATGGGTTCATTGATAAGCCCAATGAGACGCGTGGTTGTGAGAGCAAAGGCTGTCCTTGGCAAGAAGTGCAGATGGTGGGTTAAAATACCAGCTTAGATACTGTTCATAACTGTAACCCCAGCACAAGTTCAATGACTCCAGGGGTGACCTTCCAGCTGATCTCATAGATTCACAATCTGTAATGGGTATGCTGAAAGTGCAGATTGTTGGACCCTCTTCCAGAAATGTCTGTTTACTCCATCTAAGGTCACTCTTACCAAGGGAGCCCTGTTCTGTAGTTTGAGCATGACCACACTACTTCCTGATGCATTGTCAATGACTAACTTACTATTTGACAACTCTAGCAAACAGAATGGTATTGCAATCATGCCAACAAATATCAGAAGGATTTATACATTTATGTAATTAACAGCTCCTTTCACACCTTCAGGGTGAAGTGGAAGAAATGAAGTGGTTATTAGCTACAAAGCACCACTGTCAACATGCCCCACACGGAAAGATGCCAGTGGACCAGCATAAGTAACAACCTGCCACCAAGGACTCCAAAGGTTGCAGAAAGCCCCTGGGAGAAGGTTTACCAGAAGTGGCCCTCAAGGGTCTGAGCTTGCCTGCCAAGCTAGCTGCCTTAGCCTTTTTCTGCTGCAGGGGAGACCAGCCGTGGGTGCCTTGGAGGAGGTACCTCCTTCCTTAAGTTATGGGGAGGCTGAAAGATACCATTCAAGTAAGAAATCTTCTCTTCCGGGGGAAATAAATACTGGTTGGTATTCTGACTAGATTGTGCAGACTAATAATAACTAGTTCCTCCTCTTAATGGAATTAGGTATAAGTTGGATTTATTTTAAATTACTATTCATATTATCTATCCCCCAAAGAGACAACTGTTTTGATTTTTTTTTCATAATTAGCAAGATATCTATCTTTTGAAACATGGGAAATAAACCAAAAATGTGATAAGTTTATCAAGCAGATTGGATCTTCAGGAGAGTCAGACCACAGGCTGGGGTTTGGAGTCCACTCTAAACAACTGCCAGTTTTGCAGTTCTGTTTTAAGTACTTGCCACCAAATTAGGTTCTTTACATGTTCTCTTCATGTACTCTTCATGGCACCCCATGAGGTCTCTGGTGTAATCATAATGAAGCTAAGGAAACCAATTTGAAGCTAACGAAACCAACAACAGTGTTGTTAAAAGTTAAGTATGCCAGTGTCCTGAAAGTTATTTAAGAAAACATGCTTGCATCTAGGAGATGCAAACTGAGGTAGGAGGAAGGAAGAGGCTAAATAATATGTACAAATTTACATGGCAAATAAATGCTAACGGTGCAATAGAATTCAGTTCTTTGTGTCTTAAAAACACAGGTTGTGTCTATCCCACTAGATGACCATCCATCCTTTGTCTTGCTTGCTCATAGTCATAGAAAGTGTTAACACTATAAGGAACTGACAATATCTGATTCAAAAATGTGTTTTGTGGACAAAGGAACAAATAATAAAGAATCAAAGAGGCCAACACAGGACTTCTGTAATAAGAGTAACCCTGCTTAAACAGCAAGTAAAGGGCGTGGCAAAGAGGACGCAAAGAGGGCTGCTCCAAATGTAGCTTTAATAAGACTTAATCCCAAATGTGATTTGTGTACCCTCTTCCGGCTCTTAACAAGCCACATAAACAAAAGGACCTGCTTGAGACAGTGGGACAATTTGACTAGATTGGTAATAGATGAAATGAAAGTGTTGTTAAAGGTTAAGTGTGCCAGTGTCCTGAAGGTTATTTAAGAAAACATGCTTGCACCTAGGAGATGCAAACTGAGGTAGGAGGAAGGAAAGGGCCAGGCCTGGAGCTGGTTTTACAATGTCTTGGGAGAGAAGAGAAAACACAGGGAGGGCAGACATGGCCAGGGCTTGATAATTCCTGGATCTCTGTGAGGGCAGATGGGGACTTGTGGTATTCTTTTCTGTACCTGTGTGTATGTGTCTGAATCTTTTCATAAAATGTTATTGCCTTTCCTTTCACAGGTGTTAGATCAGCCATGAAAGACGGAACGCACAGCATGTTGACTGAGGGAYTATATCAGGGCTGTATCACTGAGCAGCTGAGTGTGGTGTGTAATAAGGTTGCCAGGGGAAATGCCTTTTCCCTGCTGGAGCTGGGAGATCTGGGCTACCCAGAATCCAGTTGTGATAGCTGTCCCAGGTAGCCATTTACAATAAAGGGTATCTGTAAGTAGGCCATCTATAAATAGCATTTATAGACCTATTTATAGACCTAAAGGCCAAGCATAACTGGAATTCCTTCTGCCCTTGCCTCATTTCTCAGTGCCAGGCTCTAGAGGAAGAGAGGTGGTTCCACACACGTTTTAACAGCAGGTTGAAACTCCCTCCCCTTCTGCTTTTACATGCCCATATTGCCTTTTGATTTATTTCCCAAACTCTCCACCAACTATTTTAGGGTGATGACCACAACTTACATTTAAAAGTAACAATAGCATGAAATACATTCCTCCCCAGCAATCAGGAAACCTTGAGACCAGATCCCATCCACTCCCCGCCCCCCTTCATTTCTCCCTCATGCTGTTCCCTGTTCACATGCCGAGGTTCCCTGCTGGTGCTGCTCTTATGGTTGACATCCCTCCTCCCAGCTTGCCTTCCCTCTGCTTGTCCACAGAACTCAGACCTCCTCTATTTAAGTTCTGACTCAAATGCTGTGTCCTTTTTGAAGTTCTTTCCTGGTAGGGATTTTTCTTTTCCCATTGTACTTAATCTCCTTTACAGATGGTTTTTCTGTCTTGTGTTACTCTTGCACATGACTTATTGCCTTTAGTTCTAAGTTCCTTGATAGTGTTAATTTATTCTTGCATGTCTAGAGCAATTAACACAGTGCCTTGTTTCTATATATGGTATTTGTATTTAACAAACTAATAAATGAAGAATAGAACCTCTTATAAAACTTGCTTGTATAAAGCACAAAGGTTGGAAAATATCCTGAGCTAAAACTTGAAAGAAAACCATGGTGCCTGTCAGTTTTCCGTGTTCTTTATATGGAATTGTGCTTCGAACCCAGGAGAACCTCCTAGAGCATGTGGGCCTTCTCAAAGAAGCCCTACTGCGCTCAGTTGGCCTTGCATTTCACAGTTATGGTGGACTGAACTTGAGGCCTAGGTGGTGAGATTAAAGTTCACAGGATTAAGCATTCTTCTCCCTGTGCCAATTTATAACATGTAGGACTTCCCTGTGGGCTTCCTCTTTGTGTTGGTACTGGATGAGAATGTTCTCTGAAGACTGTTCAGTGCCCACAAGAGGCAAGGACCCCTGATGCAGCCCCAGCTGAGACTGTTCAGGACACCAGGAGTTTGAAAGCTTTGCTTCTTTTAAATGATTATTCTCAGTAGCTTCAGCCTCTGAAGGGAGCTGTGATCCAGCCCAGCTAAAAATATACTCCACATTCACTCCTTCAGTTCCTGGCTCAATGAAATGTCTTTTGCTCTGCCCCCCATTTGCATAACCTGGCATCCTGGGGCAGTGCTGCTAGCCATAAACAGAGAACCAACACACACAGACGTGCTGGACTCTCTTCCCAGGACCCCCAAGAAGGGACACCATCCCACCTCCCACCCATTAGAAGGGTTCCTATCAAAATGCCAGGAAATGACAAGGATAGAGAGGGTGTGGGGAAACCCATGGTGACTGCAGAAGGGTGCAGCAGACAAGGATAGCAGATGGTGACGTGGAGCTTTCAGGCCATGGACTGCACCCCAAATTCACAAGAGAAGCATAAACCTCACTGTGACTGTGCCTGGACAGGGGGCCCTAAGGAGGTACTCACCCTGCAACAGGAGCACGAGTCCCCACCCACTGGGCGCCTCTGGTTTGCCTCTCTGCTCTTTCTGTATCTCTTTAACTGCTTTCATAACTTATTTGTTCTACCAACTGCTTAAGATTTTTTTAGCTAACTCATAACTAATTTTGAGGTGTTTATGTGAATGACTATTATTCCTCTCAAATAGCAATTAAAATATACTTTAATAAAATATTTTAAAATGTTTCTTCCACAAGGAGAAACTAGTATTTCTTTTTCTAGTGAAAGACAACCCCGTTAAAGAAAGACCCCCGTTTCCCTGTCCAAGGAGAATCACACGAAACACTGGCTGCAAAAGCACGAGGTGGTTTATTGGGACACAGGCGCCTGCGGGTGTCCAGCAGAACCTCAGCCGGAGCTTTGGTGAACTGGCACGCCGGGCTTGAGGATACAGAGATTTTTATAGGGTTTGGGACAGG